ATCAGCCTCTAGCATCCGTGCAGTATGCCTCTCTTATTCCTTCTCCTATCAGGTCTACCTTAGTGGCTCCCTCCTCCCAGGGGTTGCCTCTAAGTTCCAAATGCTCATATATACAACTAGAGGATCAGTTAGGAATAGGTATATGAGGAGAATATCTTTGATTTCACAGTGTAATCCCACTTATATCCATGGCAACTTCTCCTTCACCTAGCCCCTGATTCATGCTCTTTGTAAGTTATGTCTGCAATCTTTCTATACCAATTATAGTCATGCTTCAGATATTTAGGTGGGCTTTTAATCTTTTCAGTTTATAAGGGGACTTGATAAGGCAGCCTCAGGTGTGTCTGTCTATGTGAATCACATACCTGTCTCATTTGCATCTTGCTAGGCATGAGAGAATTTCCTGAGAATTCCTGTTTCCTCACTTTCTCCTTGGGAGCTAGGGTGTAGGGAACAGAGGAAGTCCTGAATGAGTGAAGTCCTGAGAGAATCTGTGTTGTTGACATGGGCACAGCCATGTCAAGGACCGTAGCCATAGATTCAGAAAGAAATGGCAAAGCCTTCCTTGGGCATCCAATTGTGGGTATTGATAGTGTGTGCAGACAATGTCTATCATAGCTTTCTTTCTTTAGGTATTTATAGCCTAAAGGCATTTCTTTTGTAGAAATTCCTCCTACTGAGATTAGCTAAATTTGTCTCTTTGGTCCAGCTATAAATACCACCTTCTTCTTTATCTGTATGGAATGACTCACCCCCCTTGTTCAGCTGTATGTAATAATGCCAACTCTCTGTTCAACTCTATATATTTGTCCTAGTTAGGGTTTCTATTGCTGTGACCAAAAACCATGACCGGAAAGCAAGTTGGGGACTAAAGGGTTTATTCAGTTTGCACATCTACATTGCTGTTTATCACCAAAAGAAATTGAAGATAGGAACTCAAACAGGGAAGAATCCTGGAGGCAGAAGCTGATGCAGAGGCCATGGAGGAGTGGTGCTTATTGGCTTGCTTCTCATGGCTTGCTTAACCTGCTAACTTATAGAGCCTAGGACCACCAGCCCAGGGATAGGCCCACCCACAATAGGCTTGACAATCTCATATTAATCATTAATTAAAAGTAATTAATTACAGTAGATTTTATGGAGACATTTTTCAATTGAGGTTCTTTCCATTCAGATAACTCTAGTTTGTGTGTCAAGTTGACGTAAGACCAGCTAGCACTGTAATAAATACATTGAGCCCCGGAAGTGCTATTGTTTCTCCATGAGACAGCCCAGTCCACTTGATCCCAACTTTTCTATTGTGTGTCTCTGTGTTTGTCTTCTCTCTATTCCTTAGGCACTCCAGTAATGTTTTTCCCTGGCCCCTTGCTGGACAAGGCAGTTTGGTACTGACTTAATGTTGTTGACCTATAAATATTATGCCCTAAGCTCTTTTTTAAAAATTTTATTTTATTTTTATTGATTACAGTTTATTCACATTGTATCCCAGCTGTAGACCCTTCCCTGTCCCCTTCCAATCTCACTCTCCCTCCCTCTTCTTCTTCTATGCCCCTCCCACAGTCCAATGATTAGGGGAGGTCCTCCTCCCCTTCCATCGGACCCTAGTCTATCAGGTTAGGACTGGCTTCTTTGTCTTCCTCTGTGGACTGGTAAGACTGCTCCCCCTCAGGTGAAGATGAGAGCCAGCCCATGAGTTCATGTCAGAGATGGTCCCTGTTCCTATTATTGGGGAACCCTCTTGGACATTGAACTGCCATGGGCTATTTCTGTGCAGGAGTTATCTCCATGCATGGTCCTTGTTTGGAAAATCAGTCTCAGAAAAGACCCTTGGGCTCAGATTTTTTGGCTCTGTTGCTTTCCTTGTGGAACTCCTGTTCTCTCCAGGTTTTTCTATCTCCCCCTTCTTTCATAAGATTCTCTGTACTCTGCCTAAAGTTTGGCTATGAATCTCAGGATATGTTTTGATACTCTGCTGGGTGGAGTCTTTCAGAGGCCCTCTGTGATAGGCTGCTGTCCTATTCCCTGTTTTCTCCCTCTTCTGTCTCATTTGTCTTTCTGAGTGAGGATTGATCATCTTAACCCAGGGTCCTCCTTCTTGATTAGCTTCCTTAGGTGTACAGATTTTAGTATGTTTATCTTATATTATATGTCTAATATCCACTTATAGGTGAGTATATACCATATATGTCTTTCTTCTTTTGAGATACTTCACTCAGAATGATCTTTTCTAGATCCTACCATTTGCTTGAAAATTTCATGATTTCCTTGTTTTTAATTGCCAAATAGAATTACATTGTGTAAACATACCACAACTTCTATATCCATTCCTCCCTTGAGGAACATCTGGGTTGCTTCCAGATTCTGGCTATTAAGAATAAAGCTTCCATGAACATGGTTGAGCAAATGTCCTTGTTGTATACTTGAGCATCTTTTGGATATATGCCTAGAAGTGGTATAGCTGGGTCTTGAGGTAGCACTATTCCTGATTGTCTGAGAAAGCACCAGATTGATTTCCAAAGTGGCTGTACAAGTTTACATTCCCACCAGCAATGGAGTAGGGTACCTCTTTCTCTACACCCTCTCCAGCCTGTGTTGTCACTTGAATTTTGATCTTAGCCTTTATGATGGGTGTAAGGTGAAATCTCAGTGTGGTTTTGATTTGCATTTCCCTGATGACTAAGGATGTTGAGCATTTCTTTAAGTGTTTCTCTGCCATTCGTTGTTCTTCTATTGAGAATTCTGTTTAGCTCTGTACCCCATTTTTTAATTGGGTTACTTGATTTGTTGTTTAACTTCTTAAGTTCTTTATATATTCTGGATATTAGTCCTCTGTTAGATTGCCCTAAGCTCTTAATGGTTCTGATTTTAGATTATAAAGTTTAAAAGCTCATGTTACAGTATCTCAAAAATCATTTTTTAATTATTATTATGCCCACTTCTCTTTTTTTGTTTTTGTTTTGAGACAGGGTTTCTCTGTAGCTTTGGCTGTACTGGGCCAGACTGGCCTTGAACTTACAGAGATCTGTCTGCTTCTGCCTCTCTCAGTGCTGGTATCATATTCACATACCATGGTGCCCAGCTCCCTTCTTTCCTTTTTGATTGCTGTGAGACTTGGTTGAGCTTAGGTTCCAGATCCTCCTGCCTTAGCTTCCCAATTGTTGGGATTACAGATGTAGACCACCATGCTTGACTTTTACTTTGCTTATTTCTTTTGAGACAGTCTCACTGTTAACTTGTATTTTTATTTTTTTATAATCTCCTTATGTTGTCCAGGCCAGTCTGTGTCAAGATTCTCTAAAGTTTATGTAGAAATTCAAAAGTCAACAGTGAAGTTTTGCCTTGGCTCACAATGATATTCTGGACCTATAAGGAGAATGGCATGTCTGGTGGGGTTAGGATGGAGAAATAAACTTTACCACTATTAGGGCCTTTATGGTCATCTTTGTTGCTTGGATAGTTACCTTCTCGTGTATTAAAAACTGTCTTCTCATGTGGATACTAGTTTTATTGAAGTTAGAACTGTACTTTGAAAGTATTTTTTAAGGTGAACATTTTATTTTATTTTTTATTATACGAAGAATACAAGCATTATTATTTACAGATTAGTTGAAAACTTAGCTTTGTATCTTTATGTTGCACATTAACTTTGCCTACATTTAAACAATTGATGAATTTGATGAATATCCTTTGATAATAATTTAAAAATATATAGACATTTATAACATTATTATTGTACAGTTTTTAAAAGGAACATTTTATTCACTTGGAAAACTTCATGGAAGTAAAAGAGGAGCTGAAACTGAAAAGAATAACGTATATACTTTAAAAAAATTATCTTTCTTTCTGATTTTTCAATTTCAGTGTCAAATTGATAGGTCTGTTTTAGCAGCCCAACCCTTGGGATCAAAGACACCCATATTGCCACACTGTTGCCTGTTGCTCAAATTCCAGGAATGCCAGTGTGTTCCTTTTTTAGAAAATGCAGCTGCTGGTTTCTGGCTTGTTCTGTCCACCCCAGACTTCAATGACAACTGCTATTGAAGTGAAGGGGGGAGGGCAGGTGTGAAAAGGCCTACTGTCAGGAAAGAATTTGAATAACTAGGGTAGAGGTAAACTTGTCAGTTGAGTGTAGACATTTCTAGGATGTATTCTGCTAAGCAAGAGGGATAAAAAGAAAAATCCAACAGAACCTTAAAAGGCAGGGGAATACATTGGTCTTTCATAATATATCAGCCATGAATTAGTTTCAGAATTCTTATCAATTATTTCATCAACTTACCAAATACTTTTAGAATCCCTCCTATATCCTGATTGCTATTTAGCCTCCAGGAACATTGTTTTTTTTTTTTTAATGAGCAACATTACAGTTCTTGTTTCAGTAGAATTTGCCACATATTTCTTCAATATAGCTACGTGGCTCTCCAGATGACAATTTCTCTACTTCCTTTCTAGGCTCAACATAACTCTTTTTTCTGACTCTGGAGGCCTTTGTGATCAGATTGCAGGCTGTTGTACCTTTCCCATTTCTTTTTCTCAGCTTTTTATTATGTAGTTAATAGGCCATGCCTCGGTGTCTTCTTATGATTTTATGTCTATAGCCCTAACTCCTATTTACCCTTTACCCTTAAACTGAAATGCTACATGCCTTAAGCCACATTCTCTGGGTTCTCCCTTTTTACCGTGGGCTATATTAGGGTCTTTTTCTTTATGCTACCTTTGTGCCTATCACCGTTATAATCCCCACTATGAAATTATTGGGATTATTTGTGTATACTTTATTTTCTTCTGTAGGAGGATGGGTTATATCCTTTCATCTTAGTATCTCCAGCATATACCATGGGAGTGGCATACATCAGATAACACAGTGAGTGATGGCCTGGTCAGTGAATGAATGAATGAGTAAATGAATTCATCATTCTTTATTTTTTATTTGTCAACTGCCATTTAAATTTGTTCATGTCTTTTTCTCTTCCACTATTTCTCATGAATTCTCTTTTCAGAATGCTGTCAGAAGGGTATCTCAGTGGACTTGCCTACTTGAATGACATTCAGTGGAATTGTGCATCTTATAATGAACCAGTCGCTGGGGAGCAGGGCAAGGCAACAAATTCTCTTGCTGCTCTTTCATATTCCTCTGTGGATGAAACAAAAGTTCAAAGTCTTTATGTGAGCTACAAATCCTCTGGGAAGTTTATTTCATCAGTGCATGCAAGAGGGAGTCAGCACAGCAGAAGACAGAGCAGAACAGTGCTACAGGCAAACCCCAACCCTGTGTTTGAAAGTCCAACCTTGGCTGAAGTTGACATATGCAGAGATGTGATTAGGGAGACCTACTTGGTTCCACCTTCTTGCAAAAGTATTTGCAAAAATTACAATGACTTACATATTGCAGGGGGCCAGGTGATGGCCATTAACTCAATTATGGCAGATTTTCCCTCAGAGAGCAGCTTTGAAGATGGTCCTTTGCTGAAGTCATCTGAGATTCCTTTGTCCATGGAGGATTCCATTTCCACTCACCCCACTGAATTTCCCCTCAAACCAATCCAGCGGTACTCATCCTACTGGAAAATCACCAGCATCAAAGAGAAAAGCAGCCTGCAAATGCAGAAGCCTATTTCCAATGCAGTGCTCAATGAATACCTAGAGCAGAAGGTGGTTGAGTTATATAAGCAATACATTATGGACACCGTGTTTCATGACAGTTCTCCAACCCAGATTCTGGCATCAGAACTCATCATGACTAATGTGGACCAAATTAGTCTTCAAGTGTCTAGAGAGAAGAACCTGGACACTTCAAAAGTCAAGGACATAGTGATTAGCCACCTATTGCAGTTGGTATCATCTGAGATCAGCACTCCTAGTCTCCATATTTCTCAGTATAGCAATATAAATCCATAGAGAAAATTCCTCTCAATTCTTCCCATTCCTACCAATCCCAAAAGAACACTGTATTCATTTATTCAGAGAACACGAAGGAGGGAACTGTGGAAGGGAGTTAAGGACTAGTGAAGGAGAGTTTGATAAATCTCATACTACTATACCTACTGAGGGAATACAGGAAGAGGAACCATGAGGAATGGTTTCAAATGCAGCAGAATCAGAGCAAAAATAAAAATGATTACAGAGAGAAGGAAGGTACTGTAATTTGTAATTTCATCAGTGGAGTACTGAAATTGAAAGATAAGCCGTATTGGGACAAAAGGAAACACTATGGTCAAACTAAAACCCAAACGATTTGAGGATTGGGAATTAAACATGTTTCCTATTCATATAAATTCCTATAAGTTGTTTCTTCTGGAAAGAAATGGATTACAAGAAGGTTGTTAAATTTGGATGGACTGGCATTTTTTTCAAATATAAGCTTGTATATTTTTTCTCTATATCAGTAGGTTATTTGGATGTGTTCATTTGTAAATATTAAATGTATACCAAACAAATTGCAATTGTTTAATTTTTTTATTTTGCAACAAGTTTCAGCTAGCTCATGCTAGCTTTGCAGTCATCACATAGCTAATAATCTTGAATCTCTTGTCCTTCTGTTTCTATCTCAGAAGTGCTGGTATTATAAGCATGTACGATCACATTTGGAGGTAATTTTATTTTTGAATGAAAAGGTACAGCTACAAGACAATGACTTAAATCCCTTAATTCTGTTTAGTAATAGAGATAGCATTTTATCAACAGAAACTTCCCCCACTGTGAACATCAAAGCATTTTCTTTATTTTGCTGAATATGATTTTCATGGTACTGCAATGTTCAAAAGGAATTATGAATACTTTTCTCCTCATTTTCTTTTTTCATATGTACTTATGACCTGGAGCCACAGAAAAGGTCTTCTTTATGCTCCATCCAAGACCTAGGGTCCCATAGTTTCAGTTTCTGTATATTTGTTTACTAAAACAGTAGCTTCATATGTGCATTACTACATTAATCTTTTATTCAGCTCAGGAGTTGGAAAACTATGGCCCTTTGGTCAAATCTGACTTTATGACAGTTTTGGACTCTTGTTAGCTAGGGATGGGTTTTCTTTTTCTTTTTTTCTTCTCTTTCTTTTGAGTCAGACTCTGTGTTTATTATGTATAATTATGTATTATGTTCCAGCTGTCTTAGAACTCACTATGTAGACCAGGCTGGTCTTTACACACAGAGATCTGCCTGCCTGTGCTTCCCACATGCTGGGTAAGGGTATGTGCTACCGCATTACACCTGGCATGTTTATTATTTTTAATGTTTAATATGCCTTAAAAAGCCCCAAACCTTAAATAAAAAAATATTTTAGAGTGTATGAAAATTAGGTGAAATTAAAAATTGAAATTCAGTGTATATAAACTAAATTTTACTTGTTTTCTTGTTTGTTTGTGTATTGACAGATGGAATTCAAGGCTTGACTCATGACAAGCAAGTGCCATAACACTGAGATATATCCCAAGCTGCCTACTAGATGTTATTTATTTATTTATCTATTTATTTATTTATTTATTTATTTATTTATTTATTTATTTATACACACACACATATATATTTGTTTAGTATACTCTGTTGCTACTATTTCACAATAGTGGCAGAGTTGAACAGACATCTAGAGAACATATGGAACCAACAAAGCCTAGTATTCTTTTTTTTTTTTAACTATCTAACTCTTAACAGAGATATTTGCTAACCCTGTTCAATGACAGTGTTACGCCCATACTTGATTCATGTTTGCCAAGAAGCAGGCTCTCTGGACCTTAGGGAGCATGTTTATGGAGACCAGGTTCCCTCTGTGAGGGATGGAGGGAAAAAAATCAGAGGTTGCTATAAGGAATTACAGAGAATCTTCAAAATAGTTTCAAACTAAAACAAGAGAGCTAGCTTTTGTACACAAGCGCTTTGCAGCAAGGTGTATCCCTTGAGCTGAGTGGTTCAGTGAGGGCAATTTTCAGACTGGAAGTCTACATTAGTCAGACTCCAGGCAGCTATGGTGGCCTTTGTGGTGGAGATAGTAATTTCACATTCAGAAGGAGGAGCTTAGGTTGAACAATCATTTAGGATATTTTTTTTCTTTTAATTTGTTTTTTGAGACAGGTTTTCTCTCTGTGACCTTGTCTGTCCTGGAATCAGTCTATAGACCAGGCTGGCCTTGAACTCACAGAGATCTGCCTGTCTTTGCCTTCCTGAGTGCTGGGATTAAAGGTGTATACCCCTGTTCCCAGTTTTCTTTTAGGATTTTCTATGTTTTTATGTGTAGAGTGAAAGTATGTATTTTTTTCATAGCACATACTATTGTGCAAGGAATTCTGATTTTGACACAATTATTTAGAAATATTATTCACTAGTTTCAGTATATTACCATTACCATAACCATGCTATCTGCTATGCTGTAATTGCCTACTCTGTATCAATACCATGATAAACATTTTCATGAATGATGTGATTCTCAAAATAACATGAGGATAGAGGGGCCTTTCATCTCCTTAAAAATGAGCCAACTAGGCTAAGGGAAATTGTATAATTTGTTAAAAAGCATGCAGTAGGTAGTAGAACTGAATTTGAATTAAGCTCCATTTAATTTTAAAGTTCTGTAGATTTTTATTTTGTTGTTGTTATTTTTGTTATAGATCCCAGGGATGTCTTGAACTCATGTTCCTAAGCCGTCAGTCCTGAGTTCAGATTACAGGATGGCTATACACTATTATGCCTAGATAGAAGTCCTAGTTTTTAACAACTACCGTTTGCTTTCTCCTGTTTTTATTTTTCTGCCCTTGCTCTTGGGTATGAAACACAGGTAGGACTTTATATATACTAGGGGAGCACTCTACTACTGAGTTCTAGTCTTTACCTAATTTATGTTTTATTTTTCACTTTGAGAAGGAGTCTGACAAGTTACCCAGGCTGATATGGAAGTAATTCTGTAGTGAAGTTAAGGCTTTAACTCAAGATTCTCTTTCCTCAGCTTCTCAAGTAGCTCAGATTATAGGCCAGCACCACCAGCACTGACTACTCTCTCCTGCAAGTTTCTTTAAAGTTTTATACTTAAGATGAGCCAACTCATTAATCTGAAAACAGTTATGTTAATTCATGTCCTTATATACTTATTTTATATCTTCTTCTCCACAGAATGTAAGCTTTAGTCTATTCATGTTTCTGTACATCCCAAACCCTGCGTAGATATAGCATGTGTTTAATATTTGACCAATGGATAGGCATGTTTGGATGATATTAGATACGTCATCTGCTGGTCAAAGTACAAGACAATCAACGAAATCAAATACTTGTGATTAGACCAAAAAAAAAAAAGCTACTGTGTTTTCTCCAGAAATTAAACTAATGAATAAATGCACTTATCAGCAGGCAAATGCTACCCTAAAACAATGTATACTAAAATATCACTGTGGCTGTTTTCTTTTGCTTATTGAGAAATAATGTTACAAAACCAATTGATTTAGTTTCCATTGAGCATTCATTTGATGCTGCATATTGGTATCTGTATTTTTTTTTATTGAATCACTGTGTATTTAGCTTATGACAAAGATACAATGCATGTGCACAACATAGAGGAGCAGTTCCTCTTCTCTGAAAACTTACCATATTACTGAAGAGACCTAGAAGATAACTTGGGATCAGGGAGAAAAGCCAATTGTTAATTAAGAATTTGCAAGGTGTTATAAACAGAATAATGTGAGCAATAATGTCAATGCAAGTGTGATTATTATTGGAATGGAGGTATGTTAATGAGTGCTGGAAATGGAGGAGCCCAGGGTCAAAATCAAAGCTACCAAGGAGAGGTAGTTTAAATAACTTTTAAAGGACAAGGCACGTCTTGGCAGATAGATTATAGACATATAGTCTAGGCAGAGTGTGTTATTCCAAACAAAGGAGTATTTACTGAAGGAAGGATGACAAACAGATGGTTATAACTGGGACTGAACAGATGCATGAAAAACAAAAAGTAAAAAAAGCTGGGAGTGTAGTTCAGAGGTAGCATACTTACTTGCCTAGCATGTGCAAGGACCTAAGTTAATTTCCAGTAACATAAAGAAAGGCACGAGAAGTGTAGTAAGACCTGTATAACAATTCTTTGGAGTCAATCGAATGATTCTCAAAATTTCTTTGCAATTTATTCGAATTCATCTATTACATATTTTACTTTCTTGCTCTTTTGCTCCAGCCTGATTATTTTAGGATTATACTAATAATAAAGTCCTTTATATTATACTAATATAAAGGACTGGTACTTTCCCAACTAAACATTCTGGGCATTGTGGAAGAAGTTGAAATTCCTTCAGCATGGACTTTAGTCCAGTTCTGCTCTCGTCAGTGTATTAGGTTCTCTAGCAAAACAGTACCTATAGAATGAATATATATTAAAAAGAGCATTCACCAAATTGGCTTACATTATAAACCCTAGGTGGTTGAACAGTACTTCCCTATCTACTGGAAAGGCTTAAGACCTGGTAACTATTCAGTCTACAAGGGTAGCTAACTCAGCAATTCTAGTCTGGCACTGAAGGCCTAGAGTATTTCTAGGGAGCCACTATCTTCAGTCCACATTGGAAGGCCAAAGAAGCTGAATTATCATGTCACAGAAAAATGATGGCAACCATAGCAAAATGCTACTAGCCTAGGTGAACTTCCTTGCATGATGTGAAGGCAAACAGGCTTTTTCTTTTTCTTTTTTCTTTTATTTAGGTTGCCAGCAGAAGGTGCCAACCACATTTAGGATGGGTCTTTGTGTTTTAACTGAACTGATAGAGAAAATCCCTCTTAGCTCTGCTTACTGGCTTGCCTACTAGTTGATGTTAGAGCTAGTCAAGTTGACAACCAAGATTAAACACCACAATCATGATTTGGCCGTAATCTCAGAGTGGGTATGATCCATGGCTATTGCTCATTTGGTGTAGTAATGGCTCTACTCCCACACACACTGTTTATTTCAGTTTTTTTGTGTCCACTGTTTATCCAGGAATAACCCAATGTTAAGAAGATTAAGTGGAATCCCTAGCAATATTTCAGTTGAGGTTTATAGAGAAGTTTCATCTGTGATTTACTAATTTGGTTATTAGGGACATGTAAAAAGTCAAGGCAGCTGTGAAACTTGTTTCTTTCTTTTTTTGGAGGGGGATGGGTGGAGGAGGCGGTTTCGTGACAGACTTTCTCTGCGTAACAGCCCTGGCTGTCCTGGACTCTCTTTGTAGACCAGGCTGGCCTCAAACTTACAGAGATCTGCCTACCTCTGCCTCCCCAGTGCTGCGATTAAAGATGTGCACCACCATTCCTGGCATGAAACTTGTTTCTAATAGTCTAGTTTCCATTTTCTTTATGTCTTAAAACCTCTTTTTTTTGGGGGGGGGTCTGAAGATTGAGCACATCC